AACAAGTTCTTTGGAAAGAGGGATTTGCGAGAGATCTCACTGCACTTATTTCAGATCAATCAGTCAATCAATACTTTTTCTGACAAAATATATCAGTGATTTTTTACCCTTAAAATGTTCTTTTAGTGATAAAGAATAGTGATAAAGAAATAGTGAGTTTTAAAAAAAAGATTATAAATAAAATTTCATCGAGTTCAATTCTTGGATGATGAGAAGTCATATGCGAGTGAAGATCTTAACAAGATGTTAGAAGAGCTTGCTACAGACGAAGAAGAGGAAATACTGATGATTCTTTGGACAATATACTGTGGAGTTTATTAACAAACAACAGTCATTTCCGTTCACTGGAAAAAGTGGATTTCCTTCTGTTGGATTTACCATCTGACATGAGTGAAGTTTTTTCATTATTCTTGGATGAAAAAGTAATAAGCCTTTTAGTCACAGAAATTGATAGATATGGTGAACAAAGAGTGATACCTTTTGAAGTAGTTTTGTGCGTTTTGTGATCACAGATCTAGGTCTAGGTAACATTAAAAACATTGTTATGCAATGGCTAACACCGCTCTTTGTTTAGGAGATTATAGAAAAGACGCTGTACTGTTTGTTTACCATGCGATCTTTGTGTACACCCAGCCATCGCCCAGGTGTCGAATTTCTTTGTCCTTGAATCGTGTTGCATTGCCTGCGATGTTATTGGTTACTGGAGTGCCCCACCAAGAAACTGTGACCCTCCCAATTAGCTAGGAAGGAATTCAAACGAAGATGCGATTATTTGTATGGGAGACACTGTTTTAATAATCAGCGCTCAGCAGAGTTAATTGATATAATCTACAAGAAGAATGTATTATAATCGATTTCAATCACTATTTTCAAATTTGTATTTTGCAAACAACGAAATCATAAAAGAAAATAGTAGATTTAGTGGAAGAGTTTTACCATTGATTGACAGACAATTATCAAAATGTCTTTTCAGGTCAAGATATTGTAATCGACGAAGCGACTATGGTTCCTTGGAGGGAACGATTAGTATTCAGACAATACATAATCAAATTAAATCAATTAATACAAGTATAGAATCAACTATTCAAACTTTGTTTTACCGAAGGATACACATGGTCGAAAATGTATGCTGGTACAAGCGCAAAAAGGAAAGTTGGCATAGCCAAAGACGTCTGCATTGAACTTGCAGACAAATTGTTAAACGAAGGACGTACTTTGTTTGTGAACAACTTTTATACAAGTTACCAAATTTTTAAATATTAAGATACATGTTGTGGGAATTGTACGTTACAACAAAAAATTTATGTAAAATTTTGTTTTACTCACTGAAAAGAGATGAAATGATAGCACGGGAAGATCTCAACGTGTATTGTAATGTTAAAATGGATAGATGTTGGAAATCATCATCAACAAAGCATCCGTCCAAGCTTGGATTCTATTCATCACGGTCGTCCTCAAAAAATGAAATCATTAGCGGTAATTGCATATAATAATGAAAAAACCGGCATCGATAAAAGCGACCAGATAATTGCAACAACATACGGAAAATCATCAAGTGGTATCGCAAATTATATTTTCTTTTAGGAACAACCATTGTAAATGCATATATTGTATATCAAAAAGCTACAACAAAAAAATGGAGATAAGAAAATTCCGGGAACTTCTAATTAGAAAATGATTTTCCTCGGAAAATACTATTGCAAAAGAAAATGAAAAAAGCCTATGAGAAGAAATTGTCGAACGTCAGGAAGCGAGAAAAAGTGTTAAAATAATTACAATCAAATTGTCCAAAATCTTCACAAATGTGTTTAAATTATTTTATAATCAAATGTAATATTTTATCATAAATATAAATTAATAAAAAATATAAAATATAAAAATAAAATTTAGTTAGGGTATACTTGGATATATATCACATCTTAGTTTTCATTAATCACTTCTAACACCGATTCTGAGTCAGTTGTTCTCAGTGTCACTTTTACTTTTTCTTAGCTCCCTACTTAGTTCTTTTCAATCGTTCGAAGATGTTTTCAAAATCAATCTTAACTATTCTGGCTTGAATATAAGTGTCTAATTGGCTGTCCAATTTCAACAAGTTTTTTTCAATGCTTATTCCATTAAATTCTTTTAAAATTCTGATTTAAAATCTTATTTTTCTTGAACAAGAAGACATGGATCAAATATAGTGACGTGACGTGGCGACAAACGTATTATTAAATAGCGATATGAATGTATACACAACAACGAAAATTAAAAAATTTGGAAGAATTGTATAGAAGAAGCGTGGAAATCAATATCCATAAATAAACGTATCAAATTGATTGATTCTATGCCATGGGGATGCTGTGATTCGACGAAAAAGACTAGCCACTAAATAAATACTGACTATTCATAAGTTTAAAGTGATATTTCATACAAGAATATGAAAATTTGTCACATATATGTAAGTAATTGTTCTTCCAAAATTACTATTCAATATAATAAATATTTACAAATTGGTTAAATTCTTGAAATAAATAAAAACTTCTCAAGCATATAATGGATTAAGATTGAGATTTCGAGAAAAGATGATTTCTATGATTTTTACCATCTTTTCAAGAGACTACTTTGGATTAATCATTAAAATATTACGTGTATGTAAGTATATGATCGCCACATCAATATTATTACCAAAAATTGATTTTAGCAAGGAACTCGAATCTTCAATCGGAAAACACTTTCATCCCAAATTCCTTGGCGACCAGATTCGACTCCATTTTGAGGATGTAAAAATCTTCTCCAAGGAATCTTTTATAAAGACAGTAATCAAATTCCACACATATCCATCATCCAATGAAAAATCTGTTTCCGTTATTTTATCGAAATCCTCAACCATCAATTCTGAAACAATTATGGACGAAATAAAGAAAACGAATTTAAACTTAGATAATTGCATTCTCCTGAAAATAATAGATATTTCACAAAATCATTTTTTCACCTGATAATAACTTGGATAAAATTGTGCTGGATGTGATCACTGGATTTGATGGACCATACATCTCGGGGAGCGACTTAAATGCCAAACATACTAACTGGAATAATTTTCATTAAATAATAATGGTAAAATCTTAGACGAGATCCTTTCTTAAAGAAGCTTGGATTTTGTATCAAAATGTGCATCAAAAACGCACTTCAAAGAAAGTTCTTTTATCCATTTGATGGGATTGGAAAGGTGTAGTCTACCATGAACTCTTTCCTCAAGGTGAAACCATTAATTCTGCCAAATACTGCAATACAGCTTGATAAATTGAAAGTCACCATAGCAGAAAAATATCCAGAATTGGCGACGAAGCTTCGTTTTTCAATATGCAAATGTTGCATTGGCTGTAGGAGAAAAGCTGTTACAATTTGATTGGGATCCTCATCCTCCTCAGATCTTGTTCTATGTGACTTACTTGTTTCTGTCATTAAAAAATTTCATGATAAATAGTTCCAATCCATGAGCGCAATAAAAACGCATCTCATATTTTGCAAGTAAACTCCAACAATTTTGGAAAGAGAGAATAATAAGGATTCCTGAGAAATGATAGAAGAAGATGATAGAGCAGAACGATTCATATATAGCGCAATAAATCAACTTTAAACAACAAATATCGTGAATTCATTTTGTATCAAAAAAAGGAAGAAACTTATGAGATATTTCAATACTTTCAATTTCATCAAATTTTCAAATTGGATTGACTAACCTCCTCTATCAGCAATAATAATAGCAATAGCAATAACCACAACGATAGTAATAGTTTCATTTCCCTTTCTTCCTCGAATGACAGCATTCCATTACATGAATACAGATCTTCAGAAGAGGTTTTCTCATTATTCAATTGGATCAGTTGGAAAGTGGCAATAATGATTGGATATGCCATAAGGTTGCTCTGACTATTGCACTATAGTGGCTAGGATAATCTACCATTAATTGGATTGAAAAAGGAACCAAATCTCTTTTCTTCTCTCTTCCTTACATCCACTTGGAAAATTGGATTTTTGAAAATTTTCTCCCAAGTTTGGATCATGCCTAAAAAAAAATCAAATTAAAGTATCATGTCTCTATAACATATTAATTGTTTTTCACTTATAATTTAGAACCGTCACACACTTCGTGTTTGAACACGGACTTTGTCTGTAAAAAAAAAAAAGCATCTTTATATAAACTTAACATTATTATCTATAAAAAAAATATTGACATGGAAAACATGGATTTGAATTAAATAATAAAAAATAATAATAATAAATTCTTTTGACGTGCATTAACGAATTGTTCTAAAATCAGCCATCACAGCAAAGAATCATATTAATCTTATATCAAGTCGACAAGCTTCGAAGACTTCATGTATTCGAAATAATATTTTACAAATTGTGTTTTAATGTAATTAAGCATTTTCGCTTCTTAAAATATTTTATAAATAATAAAATGGCAAAAAGAAACAAATATATCATGAAATTAAAAGTAACGATGACGAATTTTATTTCTTTGAACACTGATTTTGATACAAAAAGTGATAACTGTTGTTTTGAAAATATTTATAGCTATTCTGACAGTGACATAGTTCCAGTGAAGCGACGAGTGATGGAATTAGATGCTATTTAACTGGTACCATTCAAAGAAACAGAAAATATATATTTCAGATGTGAAAAAACTAGCTGTAACAAAAAATAATAATAATATTGCTGCCTATCGATCAGGTGATATTTTATTATTATTAGAAAGGATAAAAGAATAGTTATTAAGCAGCTACGAGTATGAAAACTATACGAAAAAGATTAAAAGAAAGTAACATCGTCGACATTAGCAAGCCAAAAGTTATTATATATTATAATTTAAATATGTCGATAACGTTGACCAATATGCAAGTTCACATTGTTTTTTGAGAAAATCATGTAAATGGTGAAGAAATATGCACGATCAATAGTTACATCTTATATAAAGATGTCAGTTAGAAGAGAAAACAAGATGCCTATATCACATTTTATATTTGTATATCCGGAAATTGGATGGAACAACTTGATTTTCGTGATGGGACATCTTCAAAATCAGGAAGATCATTAGATAAAGAGAAAACATTTATAAAACTACATATATACTGTGAAGATGTCAAATTAATTATTTTTGTGGCACACGTTCTCGAAAACTAGGGCTTCGTTGGAAAGTCCTTCAAAAGATACCACACAATGGAGAATTATAAAATATAATGTTTACATAAAATTAAAACACATTATTGTGTTACATATATAAAAAAGATGAATTTTCTTTTTCCTTCACAATTTTGCATATTATGTATTATTGTTCGTTCAACGAAAATTAATTCTAATCTATTTATAAACTTAGTATGAAGAGTCAATGTATCTATATCTCTGTTATCAGATTATTCGTAAACAGACAATTCTTGATCTATTATTTTTCAAATATAAAATTTTATAAAAAATTAAGTAACTTTTTAACGAAAAAATTATCCTTTTAATTTTTTATAGATATATGAAAAATAATAATCAAATTAGGACATATTATTAAAGACAAGTGACGAAATGGAGCGTATCGAATATCATTCTCGCTCCTGTTTCTTTCTAGCTCTGCACAGTACATCATTAAATATTATTAAATTTTACAATATACAGTTTATATTAATTCATCTTCCATTTATGAGTGATGAATAAACTAAGATTTTTGATATTCTGATCCAAAAAAAATCTAAGTAATTGAAGTCAGAAAATTTTACCTCTCATGGATACGAATTATTATGAAAATTATTATTTTCTTTCAATGAATACTTTATTCGAAATTTTACATATTCGAAAAGAATCGATGCACGATGGTGTTCAATAAACTAAAAAAATAAGATAATAAAAATAATATTTTAACAAAGAAAAAAATGGATGCTGAAAATTTATATTTACACTTTCCATATTCGAATGAAGTAACGTTATTAACGTCTTGAGAATAACAATGCTCTTCTCATATGTGCTGAATAAATATTGAATGCACAGTAATATCAAATATTTTAACAAACGTACAACATAAAATATCATGGCCAATATGAAACTAGAGCTGATCGATCGTCATCGAAATTAATAATTATATCGATTAAAAGTAAAACTTAGAGTTATCATTGTGAAAATAAATCTAAAAAATTAATAAAATCTCAAATTGTAATAATACGCAACAGTGATGGGCAAAATTTTAACAATTGAAGTTAAGAATGAAGTTACTTCGAAAAAAAATTATTGTTCGAAGCATCGAATAATTGTTGTAAACTATAATGCTGAACGACTCGAAGAGCGATCAACTATAGCTACGAATAAAAATTTCTAAAAATATAATCTATGACTTCGACTCGAATTTTATCGAAAGTATCGAATAAGTCAGAAACAAAAGAAATTATATTTACGTTATAAGTAATAAATGAAATTAATATTTTAATTATATAAATAATGAGTAATTTTCATTTGAAACGGATGAACCAATAAAAAAATCTCTTGGTGATTATTTAAAATCCGAACCGAACTTAGAATATAGAAAACATGGAATGCAATGTATATTTATAATAATACATATTATAATATATATTTAAAGTAAAAATGATATCGATATTCATTGTAATTTTGACTACCAAGAGTCATTTTTTTAAATTTTTATATTTCGTGATACTTGCTGATACTTAATTAGCTCATCCATTATGCGTCTTAATTGTCTGCCATTATATTAAAGAGAATTGGAGACAAGAAAAATGACGAAAACTAAAACCGGAGAATTTTTAATACGAAAAAATGTTAACTTTTATAATATATCCAGAAATCATCAAAGTCAGTGAGGATACAATTATTTCTTAATAATTAGCATTATTTTTTACTTGGATTTGGAAATGAAAAACAAATAATGAATAAAATGCATTTTTATTGATGCACACGACTATATTTAATGCGATTATATAAATGATTATAGTGACGCAGTGGATAAAACAAGATAATCACTTATCAATTGTTCATCATCTGCTCTTTGATTTCCTAACCTAAATATTGAAGACATAGACTCTATCCTTTCCAGACGTAGAAAATTACTATGACGATTATATAAATTGGAGAACTGAACAAATAATCAAACAAGACTTGGGAGAATTTAATTTAACACGATTGATTGTACGAACTAACAAACCATTACTCAAATTGTACAAATTGACAATAAGAATAAACGATCCAACTACTTCTAACCTAGAAAAAGTCCAATTCAATTATAAACGAAATGTTGGATCATTATTACGTTTATATATTTTCTGCCTCAAAACCAATCAAGAAACGAGTTTCGAAAGGATATTAAAATATCCTTTCACCAGAACACAAGCTAAAAGACTTGATTAAAATTTTTATTAGAGACAAACAAAATGATTGGGATGAAAACTTCAAATTGATTTGTATGGGTATCTAATACATCAAACCACTTTTGGATACAAAGCCAACATGTTTTCAACTATCCCAGCTACACTTATTAACATTAAAGAATAACTCTTTAAACTCTGGAAAAAACGACATAATTACATTCAACAAGCTAAGATATTAGAAAACAATATTTAATTAAGTTAAGAGAAACTATATGCGGTGGTCTTATTTTTCAGACTACTTGTTCCAATTTTAATCAATGCAAAACTTCATTATCTTAAATACAAATCCAAATGGACCAATTAGAATTCGTACACCGTATCAAAGACGTTAGAAAAACACTTACCAAATCCTTGGATATATATATATCATTAGGTTAGGTATTATCCATTGTACAGATGTAATAATATTTGATCTTTTACAGAAACGTATACCAAAGAATACCTGTATCATATGTTGCCTCATATCATGCAGATTGAAATCAACAATCTAAGGAATTAAAAGTATGAATACCACCTGGCTACCAGGCTATACCAACCCCAGAGATCAATCCAATCGACCTGGAAGAAACGAACATCATTCAAATACAAGATCTCCTCAAAGAAACGTACGTGTTGAGTGATCAAAACGAATCTAAGAAGAAAAAGGAATTGTGACATAAGATATGATAATCACTTATCGATTATTCATCATCCTGTTCATTATACATTAATTTCAAAAGAAATATCCCATTACCAAAATTTTATAATGGTTTAAATACCTGTCCCAAAATAAGAATGATGATTTCTTCTTATAAATATCGCGATCATTCCAAAGACTCTGTACGATTCTCATTTATTCTTAATAAAATTTACATCCAATCATATTTCTATTGTTCCCCTTCTATGAAAGTCGACACTTGGAAATATTAATCATCGAATCAACAGTTTAACTCGATTTCTTACGCTTATGATTAATCGAATTAATCATTGGTTTACCAATTGTCTTGTCCAACTCAGAATTCAAGTGAATAAATCTTACGAATCCTCACGAATTTCCACGTGACACTGTCTCAGAGGCACCATCCTATGATCAAGAAGATTTATCACACACGATTAATTCCTGATAATCATCAGTTCTTGGTATTTGTTTCTTCGTATTCAGGAATTTCCTCGAATTTGAGGAGTTATATTGCAAGTGGAGAGACTGATCACGATCTTCTTCATCAAAAATTAAGAAAATCACATCTAATTAACTCTTCTCTTGTAAACACGTACTCTGATCATTGGATACGACAAATAAATAGTTTTGTTGTAATAAATTGTGCTCAGATCAACTGACTGACATTGTCGTTAAGAAAATACAACTTCTAAGCGCTTGAATATACACCATTCGAATTTTTCAATTTTTCCAACGTGTAAAAAAGTGTAGATAATTTATTTGATTAAGGAAGAGTGTTCATCATTCACTTAGTTATATTGTAAATGAACTAGTCTAAAATAGTAGTGCTTATGCTATTTCTTCATTTTACCAAAATGTGTTTTCAAATACGTTAAATGAAAAAAGTGATATAGA